AAGTGATGATAATTGTTAGGTTATGGTCATAACAAAATGGCCATACATAAGGAACTTTTGACACCTATGTACTATCCAAAGTACGAGGCTATCAACTAAGTCAAAAAGACAGATAAAGAAGAAATAAAGGACTTTTTGTCCTTTTGTAAGACCTCTTGCTACAAAGCAGGTCTCTTCGTAGCCATGGAAAAACACCTACACGTGCATGCCATAACTCCTTTCTTATCTACTTAACTTTCCTTGTAAACCTTCCCCATCATCTTCCATTCTTGTGAAAAAAAGTCTTTAAGTCTTGTAGAAAGTTGGTTTTGTTTGTAATTAGTATCAGAAGAAGGCTACTCATTGTATAACAATGTCTTCTGTAAGTTTTATCCTTCTGTAAAATATCATTATAATAAATTTTAGCTTTCATATATTTGAATCGTTATATTTTTATGTATGGTTATTTTGTTTGTTTCATTGATAGTTGTTGAAAAATCCATATACCTGTTATTGTTGCAAATCCTATGTCTCGTCTTTGACCGTTAAGGCTAGACTTTGCCATCGTTGGTCTTTTATGGAATTGCAAATATTATATTTGCAATAGGGAAGACCATATAGCACCCAATTGCCACAGAAAAGGACAAAGTGCTAGAAAAATGATTAAAATGCTTGAATAACAAGAATTAGAAGTTCTGTATGGAGAAGAAATCTTTGAAATAAAAGATATTTAGTGATGAAGATTTAGATCAAATCTTTATGCTACAAGAGGAACATACATTAGAAATACTAGAAGAAGAAAGAAATTGAGTCAGGTTAGGAGATGTAGTTGGTGAGAAAATCAAGTTTATTGAGGAACAATTGGAAAAATTGAGAAAAATCATGAAGATGAAATATATAAAATTTCTAGGTTCAATTCATTCTCAACTAGAGTATTTGAATAATTTAGTGGAAATATAGTCGCTAAATGTTCTGCAGAAGGCATTGCAAAATTAGCACTTTTTGATAAAAAGAAGGTTGCTAGATGGAAAAAATAATATTCAAATATAAAATATATCCATATAGAGATGATATAAATAACTATTACCTGCCTATTTAGACAAGGAATAGACACCCCTATCTTTGCTATAGTGTTAGACAAACATTTTAGTAATCCATTAAAAGCAATAATAGGTGGAATTCAATCGAATTTGGTCTTGAGAGTAGTTTGGTTTAACATCAAACCCAACTGTTTTATTTTGATTGATGATCTAAATATCGAAGATTCAGTAAGGATTAGAATTCTTACCCAAAACATGGAAATAAAATCTAGTTCTTTATTATGCAATTTTCATTGGAATGAGAAAATGATTCAAGTCTAATGGAGACCGCTCGAGCTGTCCGTCCAACTAGTCAGTCTTTCTCCATTTTTTAGGTAGAACTTTATTAATGGCTTGATCTAGACAGATTCCTAATTGTGTCGGATTTTTGTTTTACACGTTACACATGAGTTGATCAAATATAGATGAAATTTGCAGATGTGTGAAATTAGACTAAGCGGAAATTACTCTAGGTACATAAAAATTGAGTTTTAAATTCTTTAATATGCCTCACAGTAATGTGTGAAAATGATGAAATAGGGATGCATCTGCAATTTGATGAATAAGTGTGATTTTCATGATTAATGACATTGGACATTTAACTTTCAAATTAAAAATTGGATCATATTTTAGATCCCTATTTCATCTATGCATGTGCATTTAGTTGCATTTAATATTGTACATACATTCATGCTTTTTAAGGAGGTTCATTGAGTTGATAGAAGAAGTAGAGGAGGAGTTGTAGTGATCTGGAGAAGAGTTGATAACTGATCCGTTAATTGGATAAACAAGCTTCAGGGGCCGTTTGAGTGGCCTCTCATAAAGTTTAGGTGATAGGACTTACGGCTCCAATTTTTATTTGGTACCTCAGTGCATTATTGTGAGCCATATCAGGGGATAGAGTACTTATTGATTATAATTCTTAGTGCTTGATCCTTAAACCAAGGGTGGTTAGGTATTTAGGTCATTATCTTGTGCTAGGCTTTTGAAGGTGCAATGAAGATCCCTTAATTCGGTTTTGAAGCTTGAACTCGTCCCTTCCTCGAAGTTTTTGGAACTCAATTTTTGAAGCATAATGACCATAGACTTAGGTTAAGATTTACAACAAGATTTCACAAATTAACTAATTACTATCAATTTCCTGACATGCTGGATAATCTCCATGAAAGGATTCATGTTGTGGTTAGAGAAAAATGGGGTTTAGCAATATCAACTATTGCTTGTTTTTTGCATAGTTGAAATAGAAGGATTTAAAAACGAATGGGTGAAAGAATGAGGTAGTGGAAATAACAAGGGGACACAACAGATTATGGAGGTGTAATTTGAAAATTTACCATGCATTGTGTGGAACTTTGAAAATTGGTGTTTGATGCTTGTACCAAGGAGTGATAATAAATGTCTTTTGGGATTTTGACTGAAAATCTTCGTTATGGTACCACCTTGAAGGTTTTACGTGGCAATAAGGGTCTGATTAAAGTTACAATGTAGATGAGAGAATGTTGAACATATGTTGAAAATGTTGTGAGGATGGAACATAGGAAGTGAGCGTGAGGTCAAGCACAAGTCATATTGTTTGATAAAGTACATGCGGTTGCAAAATCACTCAATTCATTACAAATAGTGATCTCCTGTTTGTGGTATCCAAGCACATCCATTCGTGTTTTTTTTTTTTTTTATCTCCATTCCTGTAGTTGATTGTGTTGCAATAGAGCAAGATTTGGAGGGAGGGTTAGCATTAGTCCAGTCTATGATTAGTATTCCCTTTAAATTTTCTCTCTTTTTAGGACTTCTATATAAATATGTATATATATTCATAAATATATATGTTGGGATAAGCCTGGATCCCCTAAAAATGCAAAATAGTGAGAAAGAACGCATTTTCAGGGGATGTACATCATAGCATTACTCTAAAACTAGAACTAAGTGCCTAAATTCCACCCGAAAAAGCAATAGAGGAATCCGTGGACTAGAGATTGGCTTGGTTGGATAAAACAGTAGTGTTCAAGGAACTTTTGATCGAAAAAATATTTTGTTTCAGGTGGTCGAGAAGTTTGTGTTATTTATAATAGTAGAGATTAAATTTTGGTTGCTTTGCAGACAGGTGCCTTGGTTTGGCAATGGGAGGGAAGTTGCGATCCTTGCATTTGCAATAGCTTGAGATCTTGCAGAAAACAAGATGGAATGGATCATATAGCTGGGGGAACAAGGAGAAAATTCAATCATGGTTGCTTGTTATATGGATCGTATATTAACTTTTAATCATTTGGAAGGGTAATTTAAATCCATGGGTTGATGTTGTGGTCGGGAAGAAAATGAGGGTTGGCAACATCAACTATTGCTTGTTGTTTGCATAGTTGGAGTTAAATGATTTAGAATGAAATGGGTGAAAACCATGAAATGATGAGGTAGCAGAAATAACAAGGGGACCCAACAGGTTTTTGGAGATGCAATCTGAAAATTTTCCTTTAGTGTGTGGAACTTTGAAAATTGGTATCTGATGCTTGTACCAATGAGTGATATTCTAATATCTTTGGTGATTGTGACTGAAAATCTCCATTATGTTACAATCTTGAAGGTTTTATGTGGTGAACAGGGTCTGATTAACGTCATGATGTACATGAGAGAAAGTTCATCATTTTTGAAAATGCTGTTAGTGATCAAAAATAGGAAGTGGGTCAAAAAAAAAAAATGATTAATAAAAAATTAGGGGTGATGTGATAGAAATGAGCAGAAAAATATATGGGTATAAGATTCAAACTTCCAACTCCTTATTATATAGATTAGGGGGAATTTGAGATTGATTAGCGTAAAAAGGTATGAGTTGAGTGGGATTTTCAAGTTTTGGGTGAAAAGTTTTCAGTGATGATTTTGAGCTATTGAATTAAATGAATCTTAGTCACTCTTGTGTTAAACTAAGTTAAGGGATTCAAATTGGGTCCTGTTTTATTATATATATTATCTAGGTATATGTAAATAATTCATTACTTATATGTGAATCATTGAATTGCATGTCCTTTGTAGAAGGATTGCATTTAATGTAATGAAGTTCTTTTCTGATCAGAGGAATTTATCATTATGCATGGTTGGCATTGATTTCAATTTTCATTTTCTAGCTAGTGTTTTAGTATTAATTTTTTTGATTTTTCTCCAGGGATATTGGTTATGGTTTTGCATTTAATTAGTTGTTCTTCTCTAGGTAGCAAAAATTACAAAATTTGATGCAGCCTTGCAGATAGAGATGTCAATCGTGTCGTGTTCATGTGACCCACATGTCGTGTCATTTGTGTCGTGTTATTGTTATTCGTGTTGTGTCCATGTGAAAACTCAGGAAAACAAAATCTATATAGTGTGTTCTGAGTATTAAACATTATTATAGACTATTTATTATGCGTATTTAATAATCGTGTCAATTTTATAATTGTTTGTGTCGGGTTCGTATCAACAGGTCAGAGTTGACACCCTTACTTGGAGGCATCTGATTGATGTTAATTCTACAAAACAAATATATGTTGAAGCTTTACTTTTAACATATAATTTAATATTTGGTTAGCTAGCAAAGAAATGGTTCCTAATATCTCTTACATTATGCCCTGTTTGTGCACTTTGTGACACTCAGGTGATATTCATGGTCAATATTCTGATCTTCTACGGCTTTTTGAATATGGTGGATTACCTCCACATGCCAATTACCTATTTCTGGGGGACTACGTTGATCGAGGCAAGCAAAGCCTAGAAACAATATGCCTCCTTCTTGCATATAAAATAAAATATCCAGAAAACTTTTTCTTGTTGAGAGGAAACCATGAGTGTGCTTCTATAAACCGTATATATGGATTCTATGATGAATGTAAGAGAAGGTTTAATGTAAAGCTATGGAAAGTCTTCACAGATTGCTTTAACTGCCTCCCGGTGGCAGCCCTAATCGACGAGAAGATTCTCTGCATGCATGGAGGCCTTTCTCCTGATTTGCAGAGTTTGGATCAGATTAGAAACTTACTACGCCCAACTGATGTTCCAGATACTGGTCTGCTCTGTGATCTCCTCTGGTCAGATCCTAGTAAAGATGTTCATGGTTGGGGGATGAATGACCGCGGTGTTTCATATACTTTTGGCCCTGACAAGGTGACAGAATTCCTTCAGAAGCATGATTTGGATCTTATATGCCGTGCTCACCAGGTTTGATGTGCTACAATAATTTATTCCGATTTCTGTGTAAATGTCCTCTGCTTTACTAGGCAGGCACATTATCTCTTTGGGGTATTTAATAAATGATGTGGGAAATATGGTGTTTATATACGTATACATGTGTATAATTTATTTGTATGTCTATATGAATTGAAACTCCATATGGCATATTGGAGTTTTTTTTGTGCCCGGGGGGCCACCTCCTGTGAATTCAAAGAGTTGAGTGGGGGGGATATGAGCACTAGTAAAATTATTCTTTACAAATTGCAGGTTGTAGAGGATGGGTACGAGTTCTTTGCAAACCGACAACTTGTAACTGTATTTTCGGCACCAAATTACTGTGGGGAGTTTGACAATGCTGGTGCCATGATGAGTGTAGATGAAACTTTGATGTGCTCCTTCCAAATATTGAAACCTGCGGAGAAAAAGTCAAAGTTTAACTTTGGGGGTACGAATACTGCTAAGCTTGGAAATTCTGTCTCAGGGGTCAATCTGTTTGGGAGTACAGCCACAGCTAAACCTGGAAACTTACCAGCTGGTGTTAAGGTAAATAAACCGGAATAATTCATGAATAAATGGTTAGTGTTCAGTTAATATTAAAAGGTCATACTATTAAGTTTCTATTATCTCCTAGATATGTTGTGATATGTGTGCTGCTTCATCCGTTACCCAACTGCCTAAATGATATTGTTTGGTTTGAGTGTAGGATGTTATATTCGTGTTAACCATCTTGTGCGTGGATCTATTAATGCTGACAGGATCGTAGATCTCTCCTTATGAGTAGTTCTTATTCTGTAGCAGTGCTATTTAAGCGGAAGGCACACCTGGGCGCAAAGTTCTCCTGGGACCTAGGTGCGAGGCGAGGCGAGGCGTGAACTTCATTGAAACGAGGAACATGGTGGATATAATATGTCAAAACTATAAAGTATGTCATAAATATCACAGAATGCAATAAGTTTTAGAAAATTTCAAGAAAATCCATTATATTTTCTTAAAACAAAGGCTAAATTAGCAAGTATTAAGAGCTTATTGAACCAAAAAAGTAAAAGTTGATTTTTCTAAATTTGGACTAGATTCACTAAAACAAAAGGAAAGAAAAAATATATATATATATATATATATATATATATAGAGAGAGAGAGAGAGAGAGAGAGAGAGAGAGAGAGAGAGAGAGAGAGAGGATAATGAAGATGAAAAAGGAAAAAAAACAGAGATCAAGTGCCAAGAAAGATATTTATACATGGAGTTAGATTAGAGTGTACCTTTAAATTCGCAGGTACAGTTTAGGATTAGTAGTAGATATTTAAACATGGAGGTATAAACTAGTGTTGCTAATAAAATTCTATTGATAAGCAGCCCAAAATATATCACCGAAGTGAATAAAATGCCTGCACAGCATACGCCATGGGACTAAGTTTGTGGCACACACTTTGTGTGCCTCGACTGTGCCTCAGAGAAGTTGCCTCGCCAAGCTCATTGAGCTGCTTTGGGTGCCCCTCAGCTCGCCATGGGTCTGGACATGCTTTTATAACACTCTTCTGTAGTGCATGCAAAGAAGAACTTGATAATGTTGATGGTGTGGTGTGGAACCTAATAGGAAATGCTTGTTGATTGTCAGTATCAGGTAGATAGTCAGCATTATTTATATGACATTTTATTCAGATATTCTTGGATAATTATTTTGAAGGATGGAATGATTTCTGTGATAGATGGATAAATTTCCCCTTTGTTGTATTTGTGTTGTTAACCATCATTTGTGTGGATCTATTAATTCTGACAGAACAGCGAATCTGTCCAATATGAGTAGTTCTTAGTCTGTGGTGCATGCAACAAAGAACCTGATTATGTTGATAGTGCAGAACATTATACGAAAGGCCTGTTGATTCAGTATCATGTAGATAGTCTGATGGTGTTTATTTACAGTATGTCTTATTTTCTTAGATTATCAAATTTCAAGGATGAAATTATCTTTGTAAAAGATGGTTAAATTTCTCTATTTGGAAGAGGAACATGACCTAAATTAATAGAAAATGGAGGCACAGCACCATTTTTCCCCATTGTAGCTTGATACACTTATCATGTGGGGTTTTTCTAGTTTTTAGTTAGCTAAATGCTATTTGTCACAATGATATATTATTGTTCCTGCTGAACAAGATTACAGTAGAAAGACCTTGTCGAGAGGCTTGAGATAAGATGCTGTTTTATTAACTTATATATACTCTAAAGATGAAGGATACGTTTTACCAGGTGGCTGGCCAATGGACAACTTTGGGATACAAGAATAGTTTGCATAAGCTGTTCATTTTTTGACTATTCCGACCACATGCAGATGTTAACTTGAAAAATGAGAAGCTAGTGTTTACTTTGCTAAATATCTTGTTCTGTGCTCAACAATCTCAAAATACCATTGATGGATTAACCATGCAGCACATGGAGATGGCATACTAACTTGTCATATCTCCCATTACAAAAGTTTTAGATGCATTGCAAAAGATAAAGGTAAGCACTATTCCACTAAGCAGTTATTTTTCTCATTCACCAAGTCTCTAGATGAGACATATCAAATACCTCAATAACTATTCCACTAAGCAGTTATTTTTCTCCTTCACTAAGTCTCTTGATAAGACATATCAAATACCTCAATAGCAAGTTGTTTCCTTTTATATCTTCAATTTAATCTTCCTCACCAACACATTTGGAATTTAAATATTTTGGAAACTCCTTGCTTCTAGCTCGACAACTGGGTTGTGTTGGATAAGTTTATATTAAATTCAATCAGAACTCCCAATGTTAGACTAGGGTAGAGAAAAGTAAAGGCTAATTTACAAAGCAGAATAATAAATAGGTTTAATCTGAGTTAGAGTAGCTGTTGCATAACTGAGGTGATCTGCTTGGATTCTTCTGAATTAGGGGATGTAATCTTTACTTCTTTCTTTTGACTTTAGATTGTTCTAAATTTTAATTTCACATGTGAAAGTTTAAGCGAGGCAAAGTATAGGGATTTTCGCACTTTGCACTTTGAAAGATTTCAAGATTTTTATTTTGCACCCTCAAACATGAAATTTCCCACATTTCTTAGGGGCTGTTTAGTAAGGTTTTCAGTTTTTAGAAAAAGTATAAACAAAAAACGTTTTTGTTTTTTTTATACAAAGTTAAAAACAAAAAAACTTGTTTAGTTGTTGTTTCGGTTGTGAGAAATTATGAAAACTAAAACACAAAACTCGTTTGGCCACCACTTCTATTTATGTTATGAATGGTTCCTTTATATTCTTTTCCTGTTATAAACAAGCAAGAAGAGAAAAATCAAGACCAACAATCTCACATTTCATTAAAATATGAATACATCCCACAATTTATACTACGACAAAATCATCCCACAACTTATAAACATCTAATAACCAATTCTAATTGATCATTGTACGTATTTTTATTCCCATTCAGTTGGTGTTAGGATAGTCTGCGACACGGTCTTGTGCGACTGCTTCAATTGGCTAGGCTTCGACACTGTTTGTTGGACGACATTAGCTTGGCTCACATTGGTTGATATAGTAATAAGTCCATTGAGGCTTCGATCTATTAGACACACATACCCGCACCCACTGTCAGATGAACACCCACACAGGTACATAAGCACAGACTTCTACCAACAGAATTGAGCATACCCACAAATACTATACCCATAAAACAAAAACTCACACACAGAACAGGTAAAACAGAAGTTTCACAACAATATATCATGCCAAATATATGTGTGTTTGTGTATGCAAAGATAGATATAGAATGACACAGAGATTGAATCGAATAAATAAACATAATTTGACCTTTGAATTGTTGAATCGAATAGAGTGGCAGTTAAGATGGATCGAGTTTGCTCTTACAGATACTTCATCGATCTTGATTCGAGCTTTGCAACAATTACAGAAATCGTTAGTGATTGAGAGATCAACAGAGGAAGAGAGCCACTTTTTATAATCACAAAGAGATGAGGGATTAGGGTTTCGGAGAGAGAACAGAGATTGTGGGGGAAGACGGAGAGATGTCCGGAGCAAGAGACATGCATATATATATATATGGACAAAAAAAGGATCAATTTTGCCTCTAACAAAATTCAAAGCCCGGACCTCATTAAACTCGCTGTGCATTTTCTTTCTTGCTCTTTTTTGAAAATGCTCTTTTTTTTTTTAAACAAACACCCGTTGTTTTGAAAACAATTTTACAAAAACAAAAATGGAAACAAACAAACACGATGTCGTATGTAATTTTACAAAAAACTAAAAACAAAAACAAAAAACTGAAAACAAAAACAAAAACCTGAAAACAAAAACAATTTTCAAGTGCACTAGATTTTTCGGTTACTTGTAAAGCGTAGGCTTCAGCTTGAATGGTTTGGGTACGGATCAAAATTTTGTTTAGAAATAGTCTAAATGGCCAAAACATTTTTTTTTTCAAGTAGACCGAAATGAATTAGTTATTGGATTGAAATTCTAATGATTTGAGGTGTTTTAGAATCTTTTGAGATGTTTCGGTATGTTTTCATCTTTATTTCGAAATGTTTCAGGGTGTCTATGTATATTTCCACCATGTTTCTAAATATTTTGAAGGAAGTACCCATATTTTTATTCTTTTATATTTTGTTTTCGAAAAGTTTTTGAAACATTTTCAAAATGTTTCCGTTTCTTTTGTGACCAAAATAATGCACCGAAATGAAATAAGAGTGCTTTGAGGTTAAATTGCTTCTGCGCAATTTAGCAGTCTAAGTACTGGGGTTGGATGCGAAGTTTACTTGGTTACCATGTGCTTCTTGGTCCCCAAGCCCTAGCCTTTATGTATTGTTGTTTTCAGTTTCTTTTGAGTGACAGAGATATCTTTGTGACATTTTACTTGAGTTGTGCGACACATCTTCTCTTAGTGTCATGTTCAGGACCCATGGGTGTGGGGCCTCGGTTTTCCTTCTCTCCTAGGTGTGGGCCCTTTCTTATTATTCTTTGCTTATACCTGCACTTTTAAAGCCCTTTGAAATACCAAAATCAGTAACCTTTGCTCTTCAAAAAGCTAAACAAGAGCAAACTATCACCCTTCCTTTTATTGAATACCAGCCCACAGGAAGCTCTCAAATAGCCTCAAACACCTATTGTAACTGTTTACTGCACTAGATCTGGCCTTGATCCTTCATTTTACCTGTCTGTTGGAAGCCATACATTTGCTCGTGTATATTCTACGTTAGAAACTGCCATCCAAATTTTTTGATAAGTTTGATTTTGATAGATAATGCTCCCTGGGCAATCCTGCTCATTTTGGTATGCATGGTTTGAAGTCACGTTATTGGACATCGACTCGGAATACACGTAAATGTATGTTTGCAGCATATCTATACGCTGCTGGACGCTACACACAAAATGTTATATTGTACAAGAAGTTTAACATCACTAGATATCCAGGTCAAATTGCAGTGTCCTCGAATGGACACTGCCATGGTATGTGTCAATTCGGTGACGATGAGTTAGCCGGCTCGATAGTGACTCGAAGACGACTCGAATGACTCGATTGAGTTGTGTGAGACTCATGGTTTATCTGAAATGTAGAACACTATCAGATCTCAAGGTACCGAGGTGGATACGACTTGGCCGAGTCACATCAGTTGATACTTTGAACCATGTTGCCCTTGATTGTTTCTTGAGGCCTTTGGGCAAAGATTGTTCTCTCAAAAATTCCCAAACTGGAAATTCAGGTGATGCGGGTAAAGCGGATCCAATCAGCCATCTTAAAGGTCTTAATTTTATGTTCAGTGGTGGCTTGGGCGATTTTTTGGGGGATGATGATTTAAAAATTATCATTGGATGTGCTAATAATGCGGCTAATATGACATATTTGGACTTGGCTTGCTCTTTGCATCTAAATTATTGGTATCTTGGATTGATTTAATGGTTAGGTTTATGTTTCACTTAAGGAGGGTTAGTCTGAGCGAGTTCCTGGATGAGATCATTATCCTCAGGCATGTATGTTCTTGGGGTTCTGTTTATGATACAGAGTGTGAAGGGTCATGGGTCTTTTGGAGGTGCTTTAGCTGCTTGTTATTCCTCAATTACGCGTCTGAGAAGATAGGAACCAGATTCCTTATTTTGTTCTCTGATAGGAAATGGAAATTCCACTGAAGACAGGAGAAGGTACGATGAAGTGGAGTAGAGGTCCATCCATATACCAAAAAAGGAAAAAGCAAAACATCAAACTACAATAAAGAGCCTTCCTCTTAATCACAAGCTGCATTCCAATTTTGCTGAATTAAGAAAAATGGAATATCCCAAACTCATTAGAAGAAGCAGGTCCAAAGAGAAGCCAAAAACCTAACTCTTTTCTACAAATACTCCTAAAACTGAAGTCTTTCTTCAGAAATTCTGTTGCTAGGCACAGAATTCTTAGTAACTAGTTAGGATATGCGTGATACTATAAGATGTAATGAAATGGTTTAATTGGTTGTTTCTTTCGTAAAGTTTTGTTCGAATATTCATCAATTTATTATGGGAAATTGGGGTAAATTTTTTTGTTTTTCTTTACCACTGGGTGGTAACACTTGTATTTCTGTAATAATTGAAATTTGAGAACTGACATACTGGATATCGTTGAGAGGTGCATTAGAGAGACCAGGAATCCCCTTCAGTGTACTAGCGATTCAGATATTGAAGAGGATTATATTGTGCAATTTTAAACTATGATTTTTGGGTTATGCTGGAGATTGTGGCTCAAATATCTTGCACCTTACAAAAAAAATGTGGAGGGGCTTGGGAGGAGTTTTAAAGGTGACGGTGAGATGAGGAGATCGTGCATGCTACTTTTATCTTTTTGATTCTCTGATGCAAGGAATAGAAGTTGTTATCATGCTATTTTTTCTACTTATAATCTCTTTACTGTTGTTTACTGCTTGCTAGTAGGTTAAGGCAAATTAAACATAGTGTTATCTCCCACGTAATGTTTATGAGTTGTAAAGTATCAGAATTTGTGTGCAAGCTAATGTGACGTGTATTATGATCCGTGAATTTGAAGTTTCTTGTTTAATTCCCCTTGGATTATGGTCTTTTTGGGTACAAATTAATAGTGGCAATAGAAGCTTTTTGTGTGGGTATGTCTTCAATTTGAAATGAACTTGCTTTTACTATGGTTGCAATTAAGTACATGCAGTAGCGAATGGGGGAGCAGAAAGTAGGAAACTCCTACAAAAATTGAAGGTTTGGATTGGAATAGATGCGTCTTAAGAATATATTTATGAATTAATGGGTTCATACAACCTGGCAATTAAGTATGAGCAAAAATTGAGGAAACTTTGCAGTGCACTTGAACACTATTGAGAAACTTTGCAGAAGATGCATCTAGAATCAGATTCTTGACAGATTGTTTAATTCATATTTGTAGTGTCCCTTCAAATCTTTTTGATTCATATGATCATGAAACCTATTTTGATTTTGTAAACCCTAAGGTGTCTGTGTGCTAAATTTTGCAGCATGAGTTTACCTTTAAACTGCTGCCATTATAAATTTGTTGAGGTATAAACGACTGGGTCGTACAAATTATGGGCTAGTTTCCAATAATTTTGAGTTTCTAACCCAACAAGCTTGTAATGGTATATCCTTGAGTTGTTTATTGTTGTAAGCTTCTTTACAATATGCATGGAAGCACCTTTTTGTAGTCAGATTATTACTAGCTGTAGAAGATTCTTAAGTTTTGATGTGGATTTGGTGCTTACCAGCATTGTTCTGTTCAAATTCCAATGGTAGATGATGCCTACTAACTGTCCTCTTGGAAGAAGGCATATACATAATAGGGAGATAAAATAAAGAAAATTTTCAAACTTGGTTCATTGTTTTTGTGGTGATTATGAAAGGGCTTGTGTCATGGAACAAAAAATTGGGTTGCTTGAATATATTGTTATTAGCAGCCTGCGTGATGTTTATTTTACAAAAAAAGTGGAGATTAAGGTATCAACCCTTATTGGACATGTATGAAGCTTTTTTCAGGAGATGATTGGAAGATGTGAAGAAGAGCATGATTCTTTTTGGGCATCTATGATTAGAAGTATCTCATTGTTAGGGTTTCTAAAAGAAAATTCCTTATTTGGGAAGGCTCTAACATTGAGGACAACAAATGCAACTGTGAAGGGAGGTATCCCAAATCGAAAAAATTAAGTAGACTCGAGCTTGGTTTATGTACTTGAGGGGCCACTTCACTCGTTCTCAATTGGTATTGGGTTGAATGCTCTATTTAGCATGTATCAGAACTAGCCTTTGGGATGTTAGTGGATCAAGTCTCTCACCTAGGTGAATTTCATATTTTATTTATATGTTCTAGTCACAACCCGTGCTGGCATGATAGAACATAAAATTCGAGTCTTAAAAAATTGATCTCAATATATTAATTAAAAAAATTTCATTTCTTCATTTCTTTGATTACACCATTTAAAATTTATTTTTACATATTATTTTTTTTAAAATATTGACAAAATTTTCTTAAAATACGCAATTCGATAAAATTTTTTCAATATATGTATACTATTGTGTATAGATAATATTTGAAATAAAAATTATGTTAAACTATAAATTAATTAAATATTAAATGATTGAATATGTTATAGAAATAAGTGATGTGATGGTTTTGGGGAGGAAAATGTATAAGGGATAAAATTTGACTTCATATTTATTTTATTATTTAGATGTTTTGGTTCAGCTTTAGTGTGTTGGATTGATTTTTTCAGATCGTTTGTTTGCCCACATGTGAGTTAGGATAGTACTTGAGGGACGGTGTGAAGAGAGTTATCCCACATCAAAAAATTAAAGAGAGTTATCCCACATCAAAAAATTAAGTAAATCTATTTTTTTTTTTTTGGGAGGGGGGAAGGGGAAGGGGGACTTGAACCCTCGACCTTAAGAAGGCAAAGTCTTTACAAAACAAGGAGCACTATTGGACCAAAGGTCCATTGGTAATTAAGTAAATCTCAGGTTTGCTTATATACTTGAGAGCCACTCATTGCCAATTAGTTTTTGTTTAAATGCTCTAAAAGCAACTGTGGGCTGTTCTTAAGAGACCACTTCATCCATTGTCAATTGATTTTTGTTGGATGCTCTAATAAAAGTATCTGTGGGCATTTGGTAGATCT